TACCCCCGATCAGAATAGAGCGTGTTCCATTACTACGAAGGTTGCTAATTTATTGCGAACAAAAAGGCAGATCGATATTTCAATCCGAACTACACATCGAAATAATTAAACACGCTGTCACACAATTGATTTCTATACCTACTCGACCAACATCCAGAAAAAATTATTCGACCCCTCCCGACCCCCCGTTGCAAAATCGAACGATCGAGCGTCGCGTGCCAGATTATTTTATTCCCAGCCACGCGCGCGCATACGGTACAATATCGCGGCCCCCGTGTATCGATAATTCGATAGAAGAGTTTTTGCGCGAAAATTACACTTTAATTGTATCAATCCGACGACGCGTGGTTAATTGGCTATTCAGTTTCAGCGTGTTTGGGCGGAACCGTTCCCGCCCTGCCGGCCCCCCAACGGAAACGAAATTATTATTTCTGACGATCGGAAGTAAACCGGTTAGTTAGGCGAACGGGGGCGCGGCACGCACGGAAAACTGGCCCGGAAAATTGAATTCTTTTTTTCTCTTTCTCCCTCGCGAGCGCGGCGACGGCGAAGAAAATGAAGTTCCCGCGGCATCGTCGATAACGGAGATCCACGCGGCGTGATTAAAATTTTTTTTTTTTTTTTTTTTTTACCTCCTCTGGCAAAGCTCCCCGCCGCCCGTCCACGTCATAGCCGTGCCACGCGGAACGCACTGTTTGAAGTTTAATTACGGCCTCGTACGCGTTGCAGTACAGACAGATTTAAGGGAGAACGGGCAAAATGAAAATGTGGAAATACCGTGACGATTACATTGTGCCTTCGTTCGCCATCTGATAATCCGCTGGATTCTCCTTTAAAGGATGAACGGTTGCCGAGCGTTTAATGATAATCTCGAGGAGTAATTTTTATTCGTTGTTTATCATGTATGCGAGCGAAGTGCTGTGTCTGATTCTGGATCAACGATCTGTTGGAACGTTTATCGAAACCTCTCGAGAGGAACATATATTTGACACATATATGTACGGTTACTTATGATGTGAATATCATTTAGAATAAAAAGGTAGACGACATTAAAGCGTGACAGTATATACGCATGCTCATTTTGTATATTTTCAGCAGCCTAGCAAATAATAAAGAATTAACATGTAAAATGTCCATATTTCGGTTAAACGTTTCTACGATGGCATTCGCTCTGAAAAATACGTGCGCACGAATATATAAACTTTTATTGCCATTTTCATTCGAACGGAAATAAATTTTGGAACGTTCGGCCTCCCGTTCGCGCGCGCTGTATGTTTTCACTTTTTTCCCCACTCCCGTTTGTTTTATATGAACTTTCGTGGAACTTGTTGATTACAATGGGGCCAGTAAACGAGCGTGGAAATCGAATTCCTGATGGATTTCGTTTTATAGTTGAACGAAAAATTCTTCAGGATTAAACGGCCGGTCGTAGTCACCGATATCGGATAATGGAGCATTGTTCTTTGGGAGAACATCTGTGTGTGTGTCTGTTTTTTTTTTTTTTTTCAAACACGGCTTTGAATCTCATTCACGGTCCAATGTTTTCCGTCGTTGCGTCGGGCCGATTATTTCCAACGAATATATTTCTCTTTGAGTAACGCGGAAGTAAACGTGCTGTTTAAACGTGTTATTAAAGCATGTTATTGAAACGCATCAAATTAGACCTTAGGTGCAGTTAATGAGGTTATCAAAAAGGACAAATTATTTTATCGTTACGGAGTCGAAAGCGTCGAATAAAAATATTCAGTGACTATTGAAGTAGCAGCGATCGCAAACTCGGTCTGACCATACACCGTCCACTTCTCCTTGCTGCGATGGACACGATTCTCTACGCATTGGGTAATTGATTCCGAGGAAACGAACACTAATACTGACTTCTCCTTTAAGGGGATGATCGTAGGTATCACGTAGCCTAAGAAACAATTTTTTTACTTCTACATGTATGCGTTACAAAAATGACCCGCGCCGAGCTTTCCCAAAGTGCCATTTTCAAGAAGTGTCGCGGTGTGACCTGTGTTTAAAGTCGAATCCACGATTGTTTCTCGAAAGTAACGCGGTAAAAGATTCAGCGAAACATCCGCGTAGAGGTGGGGGGTAGGTGAACGAGGCTCCCCATGGTGGAAGCGGATGCTTGGTACCGCGCGGACAAAAGAGCGCAGAGGTCCCGCGGTTCAGACCTCAAGGTGGTCCAAAACGAGGTTTCTGGGGAATAAATTCCGAGGTAATGTGTGGAAAGACTGACTTCTGCTTTAGGGGAATGATTGTGGGTGTTGTGAAGATTAAGAAAAAATTTTTTTAATTGCATACATGTGGATGGTAAAAATGGCTTGCAGTGGATCTCCACAGGGCCATTTTCGATGAGTCCTATGGGTTTCGAGGTGATCCGAGCTCTGGACGCAGTGTTAATTGCCACAGTTGGGTATAAAGTCCATTGTGCCCCTTGTGTCTCGCACGTTGTCAGAGGTTAAAGGGTTAAATGAATTTAAATGTAATAGAAGGACTACTGGCAACGACTACCGGCGCCAGCGAAGCCTCTATCGCCATCTATTTTTAAAATTCGTTTAATTTAACCGAATACCGGTATAATCGCGTTAAAATCCCGTCCAAAAATCCCGCTATCGTATTAATTTCGCCAATTAATCAACGCGAGCCAAACGAGGAAATCTTCCTGGTCCGTCTGACCGCACGAACGCCCGTGCCCCGACGAAAAAGAAAAATATCTGGACACGTACCGAGGCGTCCAATTACCACCGTTTACCCGTCGTTACTTTGACGGACATTCACGGCCGCGTATAATCGAATACCCGATGTTCGACTCAAAGCAGCCTCTCGCCGTACGATAATTAAGAGCGTCCGTGCATCGTAGTCCTAGAAGAACACTTTGACGAAGTGCGTTCCGTTGCCCGGGGTTATGGAAATTTACTTGATTAATTAACGACGATCGCGTCGCGCTCGTGGCCCTGCTCGTGTTTCGGTTTTCGAAGTTAAGGACGATCGAACGTCGTCGGGGACGATGGAAGGAGTCGAGAGAGCGACTCGTTCGATGGGCTATATATATCCTTGAATTAGAGCTATTTGCTATTTTTTTAAATTTAGTAATTGCATCGCTACCAATCAGAGCCACCATCAAACATCTCAGTTCCACTCAGTACGTCGATACAAGGAAAACCAAGCGTCGAATATCTGATTCCCTATCGTTTAAAAAATGTCCTTCTAGGGGAGGTTCGGTGAGGATATTGGTCTGGCATTCGGCGTGTTAATGGCTCGGTGTAATTCGATCACGGTTTAATTATTCAATCACCGCGAGCAACCCGTGGCGGAGAATGCGGCGGAATCCCCGTCGGTGAATCTCCGCGCATATAAACCACCGATCGGCGTCTCTCGTCTCGAAATGAGAAGACATCATAAATATGATAATCGGCGGTTTAGACGCCGCGTGTTCGGCATGTTGATCAGCTCCTCATCGATCCAATCGTCTATCGTCCCGTTTCGTGATCTACGTTTAATGTCTGCCGCGGGATCGAGGAAGCCGTGCTGCTCCACGAGGAGGACCTCGAGAAATCTGCTCGGTTTGGGAATGGATTAGGTTCCATCGATGGAATAGTATGGAAATTTCGTTCTACAGAGACATCTTATTATATCTATTCTCTGTTCTATATTTTTATTAGGGTGTTTTACAGCTAGTGTACGAATCGAAAATTGAAGGTAGCTGAGACGATGCCGAATCACAATTTCTTTTGAAAAAATGTCGTATGGTGCTTCGTTTTTGAAGTATCAACGAAAAACCACCTATGCTCTCGCGGCTGAGCGGCCGCTACTCGGGAGCCGTGATTGGTCCGGTAGTTTTTCGTTGACGATTCAAAAACGAAGCGTCATCCGACATTTTTGCGAAGGAAATTGTTGTTCGGAATCGTCTCACCCCCCATTTCCGTTTCTTATACTAACTCTGGGACACACTGTCCTCTATCTATCTATATCTCTATTCTATACACATAGTCATTGCAACAAACATGGATCCCGAGATTCCACCAACTATCCGACATTCTTCCAAGTACCCTTCTCTAAATCCGAAAGAAAACTCGATAAGAACCCAGGAATCACAGTTCCAAGCTCATTCCACCCAGGACAAACGACATCCAGTTAACACGAAAGCGACATGAATCACCGAAATGCGCAATTTCTTGCCAACTTCCAGCATTAGTCGAAAGAGCGCCAGTTCCGCGCTTCAGGCCAAATCGTTCCAGAACGAAATTGAGTCTGGCCGCGGGATAGAGTTTTTATTCGTCTGTAACGATACTTCAGAACCTGGCCGCGCCAATCGTTGGCGCACGCGGAACTTCCCAGGGTGGTCTGAAACTGTAACGCAACGTGTGTGCCTTTGTATCACGGTTTGGAGGTTTCTACCAGGAAGTTAAACAGCGGAGTAACAAGCGAAACGCACCCGCAAAGTACACTTTGCTTTCCGTTAGCGCAATTAATGTGTGTCGGCGTGCGTCAAACAAGCCATTAATCTATTTTACGAAACATTAATAACTGCGGCCTGCTACGCGGAAAGTAATTGAAACACGTTCACGGCCTCGTTTACGTGGAACAATTAGAACGTAATGCAATTTCGCGTCAAGTTCATCAGATGCGGAGGATTGGTGTACGGTGACGCTGTGTTATTCGAGGACATGGCGGTTGGGAACGTTCATTTTGCGGGTCGAGTTCTAAAACAGACCAGTCTCGGTCTAGCATGGACCTGACTCGGTGAAATCATGATTGGACACGTGATTGGACCTAACATATTTAGTAGTTCGAATAAGAATCCAGAATGGGCCAAACTTAACTGAGGACCTGTGACTATAAGGATCCGTCGACCAGACCAAATGGATATCCAAGACTTCTTAGTAGAGTTGTATTAGTCGCTCTTAAACATCTAGGACAGACATCCTAGAGTTCTACCCACTTCTATGTATACATATACTTACAGGATAATAATTATTATCGAAGTTACTTACTCATTGAAGGGATCTTGTGTTTTGGCAGCTTTCAGGTAGAATATGAATGACAAGAATCTCTTACCTGCAGGCAGATAAAATAAAACATCAAAATTGTCATCCAATAAAGCTTAATACTTGGGTTAAAAAAGGGGAACAGATTCTTTGAAAAAAAAATCCTAATTAATAATGCAATATAAGAAGGTCAATTCTAATGTAGCCTTTAATAAAAATTGGTGTCGTTTTAATACCATGAAAATTATGTCTATCCGCATCCATTTCAAATCGAACCGAACTCTATCGTCTCGATCCACTATCGATACAAAGCGCGACGATGCGCGTGGACGGACAAACGCCGCACGCAAAGGTGGACGATAACGAGTCAATTAACGCGTTGGATTATTGCATCGTATTAATTAACGTAATTGAGACGCGTTAACGGGGGATTTGATTCGGTAGCGCGCTAACGACGAACGTCGTCTCTCTATTATGAAAGCACGGGAAACTATCTGGTCGGGGTGGGGAGGAAATTAAAAGCGTGTGGCCGCGTTCGCGGCAGCAATTAATTTAAATGAATTTTCGCGTAAGCACGCAGTTGGCACGTTAAGTAGGCCGGTAATAAGGCAGCTCGTTTCGTCCTAGCTAAACCGCCCCGCACGCAAAATCCTCTAAAATAGAATCCAATGCGACCGAGTCGAGATAAAAAAAAAAAAAAAAAAAACAAAAGAAAAAACGGGAACACCAGACACTGGCTTCGCAACGACGCGATTCGACCGCTACATGGGAAACAAAAATCAAGTTTACAACTTCGCCTCAGGGGTTTAACAATTTTACATTATAATCGGACTTGAAGTTAAAATATTACGTGCATTCTAAAACAATATTTTTTAAGCCATTTTTGGTTCGAGGACTTCTCAGATTTATTTATCCTGATCGTCTTGGTCGAGATTAATTTTTGTCTACGGATTGGTAATGTAGAGCATTCAGTAGAGAAGACAGATCGCAGTGTCGATAATGCAGAGAACTCTGTAGATAACGAGTGCTTTGCCTGAACTCTATCAGATTCCGATGTTTGAGGTACCGACAGTAGGTAAATCTAGGATTCCCTCCTGGGAATGTAGTTCTACAGATGCAAACAATCCTCCAATCCATCGAACGTTTCGTGATGAAAAATGGCCAAGTCTAAGCTTGACGATTTTTCATCTGGTTCTCCAAGATTCGTGGCATTGTGCGAGGATGCTCTCGAACTGGGCGTTGAGTTATTAGACTCCATTTCGAACGTCTGATCGTCCATAAATGGGCGAAAACTCTTTTGTCGGTTTAAGGAAGATCGGTCGTTCGAAATCTACGGTTCGTAGGATTTCCAAACTTTCCGATATTCGCGATGAAAAATAAGAAAAGATCATTGAGAAGGATCACAGTCGGTATGCATTGAACGATTCTCCGAAACATTACCAATGGAACGTTCTGCATTGCCGACAGAGTGGAATACTCATTCTACATTATCGAGCCTTATCGTCAGAGCACTCTACCTTACCAACTAACCTCCATAATGATAATACATGCCCTTGAAAAAAAAAAAAAAAATAGCTATGGCCTTTAGAATAATCTCGAAGGCAATATAAACAGGGATGGAAAATAGGACTGATACGACTTTTTACAAGGCGAATCGAAGGGATCCTCTCGGTGACGGGACAATGATTTACGCGGTCTGTGTTCACGCCTAACAAACGGTGGCACATGCGCAGGCGCGTATGCGTTCCGTGGTGTGTGCGAAAGCACGGCCTCATGAAACATTCATGGGGACACTGCCACCGTGATACCGCTTAAAACTGCGTGCAAAAAATGCACAAACTCACCGGGGGTGATATAGGCACGTTCAAACCATTTCGCGGTTACGTGGTTTTCCGCCTTGATTTCACGTGAGCGTCTCTCGAAACGCCCCTTCGTTGTTGCGTAGCATTTCCACGCGTTACCTGTATTAAATGCAAATGCGGCTGGTCATCTCAGGGTTTTACTAAAACCTTCTGAATCCTTAACCTGATTACAGTGAGTCTGTATAAATAACCCACTCCCAACCCGATGATCATTACGATCTACTTATACACGGACCGCAAGTGCACCTACTCGACGTACCTTAAAAAGAGGCGTAGAATTAATTTCCACATCCAACGTGTAACTGAGATTTTACAATCTTCGCGATTTCATTCAAAGATTACCTTATTTATTTATGCGCGTTATTTCAATTAAATTCGACGAATATATTTCGAATTTCATTTATAAGATCGTCCGTTTCTCGCCAGTTCCAGGAACTTGACGAGGTCCAGACAGCAACATTCGTCCCCGTTTAGTGAAACGTTAAACAAGTAAGCGTCGTTTATATCTTCTCTGCATACATCAAATCGAGCACGGTGAATTCCAGCGAACGCGAAAAACAGTTTGTTGAAACAGTTCCGGGCGCGCGAGTTCAACGTTGGGTTACGAAATGAAAAAGGTGCAACGGTAAATATTCATAACTACGATTACACACAGGGCAGGGAGGGAGAGCGAGGGGGGAGGGGGGTGGCAGCGGCGGGGAAAAAATGTTATAAATAAAAACATATTCCGCGATAACTCGGTGAAAACAGAAATACTCTGCATCAAAAACAGAAATACTCTGCGTACTTCGAATATCATATTTTGAAACCTGTTACGCGAGCGATTAAAAACTTGATACCACCGTCGAAATTAAAATACGTATCGCGGAAACAAAAATAACATACTCTTCGTAGCGTTAAACGCCCGATCCGTTCGTGTTCGGAATTTTCGGAGCTTTCGATAGTTTTTTCCGTTCGTATGGTGATGTTCAGAAGTATAAAATCAAAGATCTTAGGATGTATCGTAATCGAATAGTTTTTTGCAATCAAAAAAATAATAGCGTACCTATCTGGGTTATTTATTCTCCGTGTTCCTCACAACTCGAAAATTCGAGAAAAAAATATTTTACGAATGGTCGAAACCATAATCTACCGTAACAGAGATTCCCGAGCGAGTTTTGGCGATGGCCGTTGCGAAGCGACCGTTTCTCGAGAACTACTCGAAAAATTGGCTCGAACGGGTTTCGTCGTAAAAAAATTGAAGTCCGCCTTGGAACAGGAGTCGAATTCAGTCTGGGCACAAAGCAAGTGTCGGGTATATTGCACGAGCCGCGTACCAGCCACTATTTGAGAATGCCTTTGGAAGCGCGAGACTCTGTCTTTGGCGCAGTCAACTTGCTATACACCAGTGAAACGCCGTGCGCCCGTCTGCAAACATCGCCGATGAAACGTTACGCGTTCCTTTGACGCGGACATGGAATGCTTCCTGCTGCATGCACGCCTTTTACGCGACCGGCTCTCTTTTACTTCCAACCGACGCTTCCGCGAGATCTGCGCGACGATGATTCAGTTTTGTTTGCGAAAAAAAGGGTCGCAGTGTGGTCCCTAGCAGGGGGTGGATTCGATGGATAAGAAATGATAAAAGAAATTGTTTGTAATTGTAGCGACAGGTCAGTCAAGGTCGCTGAAAGTCAGCTGCGGTGAAAATCAATTTTATTCATGTATCTATGGACAATAAAATATTGAAAAATATCGAACCATTTCTGTAACGTACGATTTTCGTAATATTTATTCTACTATATCCTGTGTAGGATATCGTGACGTTTGGTAACCATGTTTTCGTTTTTCTTTTGAATAATCACTACCACTTCGTCCTTGTCAGAAACCGTCTGCAGAGCGAGCTCGACAAATTGCGTAACCTTGGCTCGACTGTATCGCGACACTCGCGAGATACTCCACTGCTTGCAAGTGAAGTGAGTGCACTTGCTAGTTTCAGAAACGTATATCCGCGCACGTACTCGGCTGCGAGTGTTAACCCCGAAAAATGTTACCCCATCTGTGTCCAATCAAACGTGCCTGCACACCATCCACGTAAAATTTATTTATTCACTTATTCGAAATTAAACAGAATTTCTATCTAAAGGAAGGGAAGGATAATTTTTGATTTCAATAAAATTTACCATCAACTGTATAATTATTAAGTAAATAATTGTTGATTAACCGCGCGATTATTGAAATTTCCAACGGGATCGGGAATGGTTTGGAAGACAAATGGCGGCCATCGGAGAAGTACCGTTCAATGTTATCGAACAGAAACACGATTTTACGAAACAGATTTGCAGATACGAGTCACGCGCGTGTATCGCACATACGTTATCACGCATTGCGAGCTAACCTCCAAAGCAAACGCGATTCAACGTCACGGTTGCGATATACGTCCGCCATTACCGTAACATTGTGAACAGCGCGCGAATAAATAAATAAATAAAACATCAATTACACCGCGCAAACATTGCAGCGATGGCAATGACATTATAAACAAACAAGTTCCGTTCCTGATGGAACCAATTCTACGGATTACTGTTATTAGCGAAATCCCGTTCAGTGTTTGCCGATCCATTTACATTTAGGAACGACAAAATTGACAATCGGGTTGTCCAATCTAATTCAATTTATTACGTCTACTATTTATGTTAGGAATTTTGTTAAAGGTCCGATCGTTGTATTAACTCGGAATATACTCGCAATACGCGTGCATTACAATTTTATCATTAATTATAATTTTCGTTGCCTCGCTATTACAGATTACAAGTAACCTCGTAGAGCTCGATCTCTCTGTGAAAGGGATTAAAAAAATGACCAAATGTACTTTATAACATGCCTGAAATATTCTCAAAGGTGACATAAAAAATTTACATAAATACTTCACGAAAAACACTTGATATTTGATCTCCTAATGTTATTTCCTCCATTCTCTACCAACGCCGTTAGTGCCTCCAAAAAGATCTCCGTGAACCAAGAAAACCATTTCTTCTCATCCGTTGGTAGCCTAACAAAATTAAAAAAATGACCAAATGTACTTTATAACATGCCTGAGATATTCTCAAAGGTGACATAAAAAGTTTACATAAATACTTCACGAAAAACACTTGATATTTGATCTCCTAATGTTATTTCCTCCATTCTCTACAAACGCCGTTAGTGCCTCCAAAAAGATCCCCGTGAACCAAGAAAACCATTTCTTCTCATCCGTTGGTAGCCTGACGAACTTCCATCTAAATGAATACAAACATTGAAACGCAGCGAACGAACAAGTCTCGGTTGCGAGCCGAATCTGCGAATGTCAAAGCAGTGCAACGTCCAGGGCATAGTAATTGATAGTCGGGGGGCGCGTAACTAGCGCTATCGATACATAACACGGTGACGCAGATCGCGAATTACTCAGCCAGCCAACAACTTCAGGCCGAGGAATGCAAATAGCGCATATGCGACGGGGATTATTAACGTCCCCGCAGAAGCAATGCGTGTGCATCAGGTGTCGCCCACCGTGCGCCGTTATGTGTGTCGCGAATGGTTCGAACCTCGCAGCGGTTTCGCCCTGTGGGACGTATGGAAAACTATACAGCGTCGGGTACGCTTGTAAATACAAGGTGACGCCTTTGAAACGGGACAGGCTGCTTCCGAACTTCATGAATCCAAATAGATTCACGCGTTATCGCTGTACCGCGGACTTTAGGCGTTTGTAATATAAATACGATGCAACCAAAAGGTGCGTGCATTTACGCGAAACGAAATAACAGCATTATGTGTGTGTGTGTGTTTTTTTTTTTTGTATGTTACTGTAAGTTGTACATGTGTAAAATTCGCAGTCGAGTTATTCGAGACAGTATTAAACGATTCAAAATCAGCCATCGAGTGTCTCTGCGCACCTTCCTTGCGCACCAGTGGCTCTAGCGTCTCCTAAGAATTTCTATGAACTCAAATAGTGAAGTAGTCGTATCTTTTCGATTCGTTCAGGCATCCATCTCCACTCTTTAGCCCTTCGGCTCTTTTTTCGCACTTTTTACGGCATCAATAATATTCCCGAGCAACGAATCGGGACGAAACGTCGATTTCTCCGTTTAACCGAGGGCTTTACATTGTCGAAACCAGAGGCAAAGGGAACGCGTGCTTTTCTCTTAACCGGGATCGTTTACGAACCCGGGAACGTTGTAAATTTATCACGTCGAGCTTGTCACGAACAAAGCTCCACAGAGGGAAGGGAGAGGAAAGAAAACCAAATTTTTCGCGGGAATGCAATGAGCAGTCTTGAACGTTGCACAAAGCTGGGGCTCCGCGATAGCGTTTCAAAGACAAACTCAACCTCGCGCCGTGGACGTTTCTCCGATATCGTTTCCTCGGCCATTTTTTTTTTTCCGCGAACACGAAATCGACCAAACTGATTGATTGCAATCTGCGGAAGAATTAAAGTGGGAATCTTGATTTGGAAGTACACGCGCTGCTTAAAAAAAAAAACAATATTACTGAGAAACTACTACCTCGACCAAAAATTCATTTCAGATTTCAACTCGCAAATGAACTACGATACTTCTTAGACATGGAATTGTATTTCTTTTCTAACTGTTGTAGAAATTCATAACACCTAAGCAAATGTTTTCGCCAACCGGATCTGCCAGATCTTTGAAAAATCTGTGGTAGGGTTTCTGTCGGCGTCGAGGGATAGAGAAGCGTCGAAGGTCCCCGCGTCTTTGGTAGTCCCTTCCGAGGGTTCGTCGGTGGCGAAAGGTCTGAATGCGACCGAAGACGTGAATGCTGTCGGTGCAGTTGCAGTCTGGTGCGCCGCGTCTGGTCTTCGGTGTAATTGAATAGAGTACCGTCGGTGGCGGCGAAGCAAGAGATTCGCGGGGCGTAACGGTGACAAGAACAGACGGGAAAGGGATGGGGAGGTTTGCTGGCGGGGGTGAAAAATGAGAGAGACAACTTCTGACAGCGTAGGCCGGAACAGAGTCGCGCGCACCGCCCGCGTCATTGTTCGCGGATAAACCTGCTCTGTTTCGTTCCCGTGAATGCGTTTATTCCCTTCAGATTGCATTCCCCGTTCGATTGCGTTCTTCTTTCGC